CCTTAGGATAAGATAATTTTGAGGGCTTTTTTGTAATTGTGCAATTTCAGAACATCTTCCAGAATAGTAAACACTTATAAAAGACATTTATGAGCTTGAAAAGTAGAAGTGGTTTCTGAGACCTGTTCCCAGTGTGAATTGAGTTCTATGACTGAGTCCTGAGTGTGATAAAACTTAAGTTGCTGTGAATCTTCTATGTGCAAATGCCTGTCTCAGTTCCTAGCACATCGTATGTGGAGAGTAAAGACTGATTTCCTCCTTCCCTTGATCACTCCCTATCCCTCCTTTATCTCTCTCCCGTCCCTTCCTTGTATATCCCTGTTACTATATAGAGAGAGTCACTCTGGCTCCTTCCTCCTGCTAGCCCAAAGCCTCTGTAAAGTTCTTCAGTTCTCCAAATCAGCTTCTATTCCAGTTGTTTTCTGCCAGCTATGCTTAGTTGTGCCCAAATCATAGGGCCAAATGACCTTGAAGAATGAATAAGTAACAGTGAATGTCTCTTCTTCCAGTTGAGCCCAGCAACTGTATATAGAGTATTAAAGGTAGGCTATCCCATCTTCCCTGGACCAATGAACTGCAAACACCTTTACTCAGTAGCTTTAAGAGACACTGCGAATGAGACTAAAAGATATCCATGATGGCACACAGCTTCACCATTGCCATGTGGAAAACTTAAGCTTAATCAATTATATTATTAAAGCTCAAAGACAGCATAAAAATATTTAAGCTAGTTCTTGCTGCCCTGGCCTATCAGTGAGTCGATCAGGATTCAGAAGAGGAAGTAGAGGAAGACAAAGAGGAGGAGGAGGAGGAGGAAAAGGAGGAGGAGGAGGATTTCCTCTCCTGCAGTGCCCTCAAGCTCTCCTCTGCAGACCTTGCTGTGGAGAAAATAAAAAAGTAAAAGATCTCAACTTCTCAACTTATGATTGCCGCTTGAACCTGACCTGATGTTTGTTGTTTTTTTAGTTCCAAATTGCACATTTTTTTAAATCAACAAGTTCAGTAGATCCTTACCCAACACTGTGCAGTGTCTTCACATTTAGGAATTTTATCAGAAAGTAAAAGGCATAATTCAGTCCTTCAAAAATTACTACATGAAGAGTTGGATTTTCCAAATAAAAAGGCATGAAGTGAATAATATAATTATTCCATTCACTTCCTTAATTCCCTTACACTCACTTTGATTCAGAGTTCTATTATTTGTGCCTTGTCTATATAGGAAGAGGTACATAGAGGCTAAAAGCCCTTAGTTGTATCGGTCTCTCTCCATGTAAAAAACAAAAAAAAGACAGTGAGTTCCTGCAAGTTTGGAGATCCTGTGAGCAACATTTAGTCATAGCTGATCTCCAACCAATCCAGACCTCAAAGCAAATAAGGTAGGAAATAGGCTCAATGTCTATTAGCATTTGCAGATACACTATTTTTCCACAAGTATTATTAAATATTTACTGTGTGCCAGGTACCATGCAGAAAAGATAATAAGACAGTTTCTGTCTTTTGGATAGTAGCTTGCCAATATTTTATAATCAAACACAACGCACAGAAAATATTTTCTCTCTCAGCAAATTATTTTATATCACAAATTAACTTTTTTTTTTTTTTGTCAGTCGTGGGGCTTGAACTCTGGACCTGACCACTGTCCCTCAGCTCTTCAGCTCAAGGCGAGCACTCTACCACTTGAGCTACAGCGCCACTTCTGGTTTTCTGGTGGTTTATTGGAGATAAGAGTTTCACAGACTTTCCTGGCCGAGCTGGCTTTGAACGGTGATCCTCAGATCTCAGCCTCCTGAGTAGCTAGGATTATAGGCGTGAGCCACGGGCACCCGGCTACAAATTAGCATCTTAATTATTTTGAGTATTATTTATGTCACAAAGTATTTTATAGCCCAACAAATTATTTTATTTTGTTGTGAATCCAATAAGTGGTACTATACCCTAGGTCAACTTTGAGGCATTATAGTTCCATGTTTGTCTCCTTAATTTAGAGAAAAAGAATAGGAACTAGCAAGAAACAGAAGCCTTGCCCTAAAGAAAGTGGCTGCTTTTGCAGTGCAACACTTCAGATAGCCTTAGATTTAAAATTTGTTCTTTGCTCCTTTGAGCTGCTTCCCTTGGCTTTGGCTATGTCTGCAAAATGGACCACTGATCATCAATGGAAACTTAATTATCAATTAATCAATTACTATTGAGTTGCTAATATGACCTTGTTATCTGCTGCTCTTCAGAGCAATCCATAGCATTTCAGTGAAGAAAGCGTCTAATTAAATAGCAAACTGACATCACTAATACTTCAGAATAAATACCTAGAACTAAAACATTAACAAGAGTCAATAGGTTTAGCCACTCTAAGACTCATAGTTTGCTAATTCATAGCCATTGAAACTAAAGAAATAATTGTAGATGGAATAGAGCATTTTATGTGGCTTTTAATCATGAAAGTCAAATCCCACCATGTGACAGATGGTAAGGTTGTTGTACAAGATGAACTAAATTGGTTTGTTCTTAAATAGTAAGTTAGCTTGAGTTATATTATGCTAATTTTTAACTTATTATAACAATGGAATAATAGAGAAGTTCTAGCTTATTATTTTCCCAGACTTGTTGCTCCATACAAAAATGTATGTAAATGAACTTTTTCTCTCTTTTCCTTCCCAGGAATAAATTTCATTTCCTTAATATAGCCTTCTGACAGATTATTTATCTCTCATAAACACTCCCCAATTTCTGCAGGAAAATAAAAAACTTAAATGATATTGTTCATATCTTTATATTTGTCTCCATCAAACTAGGATTGGATCACTTACTTGTTCATTTAGTTAATACTTATTAGCTATGAACTATGTGTGATATTTAGTCTACTAACCCTATAGCAGTGAGAGAATGGAGTCTAGTTGAAGAGAGCCATTGCAAAAGAAATTTCCCATTATCTTATACTGCATGAACAAATACAATGTTTTTAACTATAACTGTGTTAATGTATGCTATGCTGTCTGTGATACATAAATGAAAGATATCACGAGAACTATAGAAAAAGAATTTGACCTTGAAATTATCGTCAGGGCAGGTTCCTGGAAGATGGTAAGCTAAAATCTAAAGGAAATATGAGTTCACAAGGTGAGTGCAGATGAAAGCAGTCATCCAAGAAGAGGAAACAGCATGTGCCATGGCTCCTAACAAAAGAATACATGGCATTATGGAAAACAGAAAGCAGACTCAGAGAACAGGAGAAACTGGATAGAGGTCAGATGAGGTAAAGTCTAGCCTGCCATATTAAATGTGCTTTTATTTCTCCTGAAAACAATGGCAAGTATTAAGTGTTTAAAGTAGAGAGGCCATAATCAAATGTGTATTAAGGAGGAAAAAAGCCCTACTGCACAGGAAAGAACAAATCATCTGACAGGGATGATGGTGAATGTGATGAGTCTAAATAGGAAGCCATTGTTGTAATCCAGAAAAGAGGTGGGGACATCTAAGGTGAAGATTGTAGTGGTGAAGATTGGAGAGTAGGAGATATTTAGGAAGTGTGATTGATGGAAATTGGAGATGGACTGTATAATGGGGGCTAAAGTAGAAGGAAAAATCTGGGATAAAACTTAGTTTTTAACTTGTGCACCTGAAGGGATAATAGAGCTATTCATGGATTTGTAATGTCATAACATCAGGACAGGGAAGGTTGGTCAGGGTGAGCCTGAAATCTCTGAAATACATGACTGGAGATACAGCTCTGTGTGTGTGTGTGTGTGTGTGTGTGTGTGTGTGTGTGTGTGTATGTGTTCGCTAAGTGGAAGACATCATAGAAGAGAAAGAAATTTTCAGGGTAGAGTATGAAGGGCCTGTGGAGGAACAGTCATTAGGTGTGACCTTGAGAAATTCTGGTATTGACAGCCAGGCATAAATGCTTCATGAATTTATACAATGGAGACTAAAAAACTTCTTAGAAGATATAAACACATTGGTCTGATAGGGAGGCATAAAACAGAGAGACTGGAGCATCGAATTGAGGAATGTTTAGTTATCATGTATTACTGAACAATATTTTTTAACTCCTTTCACTTGAAGTTAAACATAAAGATAGTTACCAGGTTGCTATTTGGCTTTCAAGAAACTTGTACTGAGATATCTGATGGTTTTGTTTGTTTGTTTCTTTTGCCAGTGATAACAAATACAGGAATTGCATTTGGTATTTGCTCTTTTATTTTTTTTTATTATTTTTTGGGGGGTCCAGTCGTGGAGCCTGAACTCTGGGCCTTGGCGCTGTCCCTCAGCTCTTCACTCAAGGCTAGCGCTCTACCACTTGAGCCACAGCACCACTTCCGGCTTTTTTCTTTTTGCTTATGTGGTGCTGAGGAATCGAACCCAGGGCCTCATGCGTGCCACCTTCCCAGCCCAGCCACCGTCCCAGCCCTTGCTCTTTTATTTTGAAAGATGTTTGTGTAAACAATTCTGCAACAATTCTGCAAGGTATGGACTTTTACCCACAGTATATAAGCATTTTGGACCAGACCTTGAATCTATGCTCTTCTCTGTCTCCCAATCAATTATTTACTGCTTGCCACTTCCTATGTTCTCTCCGCATGAAAAGGCACAGGGGCACACATTTTTAAAATGTGGTTATCAGATGACTCTAGTGTTTATTATTCCAGCTGAAATTCATCTCATAAGATTTCCCTGCTAGAAGCATTACAGTCTGTATTAGTGGATGAAACATTTAAATTATTTTTCTTTTAATAGCACCCGCTATGCTCCATCTTTTCCTATGCACATATTGAACCACAGTGCAAATTGTGGTAGTAAGGTTTGTCTCCAGTTTTCCAGTGTGGATACACACATCATGCCTAGTAAAACTGGAGGCAATTCAGTCACTGGAAATATTTATATCTGTCTGCATCGTTGGTCTGTTTGTATTCCTCTCCAAGCTCTAAATAGACACAGAGAAAAGTTTGTTCCCAGCTTGTTTGCATCTGGACTCTTACGAATTCTATGGTCATACTTTATTCCAGACGCTTCTGAGAAATTCGTCAGGCTGTGAAGTGCGCAGTGATGAATATCGAACAGAGTTTACCACAGCTTTGCAGCGTGTTGACTTATTCATGGGCCAGTTCAACCAGGTGCTTTTAACATCCATCTCTACCTTCATTAAAGGAGACCTCACCATCGCTAATCTTGGGACATCAGAGGGTCGTTTCATGCAGGTGAGTGTTTTCTGGGAGTCTCTCCTTTATTTGCTATCACACAGTTAAATTGTTTTTGTTTTTGCAGTCAGGTGTTTGTACGTTCTTACGTGAAAATCACAGCTGAAGCTAGAGACACAGTCTAAAAGCCAAACGATAAAGCCTCCATCCACTTTTTATGGGTATGGCTTCTTTTTGCTAAACTTTTGAAGCTTTCAGTTTGTGGTCCTTTTAATTTTTATGTCTGGAATGGTTTGGGATTTTTTTTTCCATTCATAACTTGTATCACATGATTGGAAAGTAAAAATGAAACAATTAAAGCATTTCCAGGCGATGTTTTCCTATTCTAAGGGAAGCTGTGGATCAAAGGAGAGCTATTGTGTAAACCGTGCATCTCCATGAGAGGAAACATTCACATCATTGAGAAGTATTGGCAGGAGTTAGGAAGGGACGCTCCCATCCAAATCTCATTGTAACTCTGGCTCTCCTGATTCTACAAGGTGGTGGGGTCAAACACAAAGAAGCTCAACTACTTTTTTAAAAAATGGTTTTATCAAGAAATACATTTAATAACTAAGAAGATGATTTCCATACAAGAAAAAAATCACAGTTCATATAGCACTTTGCAGAAATTAAAGTGCTAGAGTGCTGAATTTATTTTGCTGCTTTAGCAATTATTGGTGCTTTCTCCATGAGTTCATTAGCAGGTACTTGACTAATGTGAATGATGATGACATCTAGGGAAATGCTGAATTTCTGTGAATAGTAGTAGAACTTTCTGGTAAAAGGAAATGGTTGGTTTATAGTCGTCTGTTTATAGTTAATATCCTTGTCACACATTGGCTTTTAGTAAACCTTGCCTACTTATACATTGTATATCTGTGTTCTGTTCTTAAATATACTGACAACAGTAGTGATATTGATTGTCACCATATTTTAAGACCTACTAATTACATTCCTCTGACTAGTTTACATGGTGGGATATTTTTTAAAAGTCATAAAACATGTAAGTAAAACCTTTCTTGCTCAAAACTGATAATACTGATCTTGTGAGCCTATATGCTCTCCCACCCCCAACTTCTGCTGCCTTATTGTTGTTAATTGTCCTTTTTCTCCTCCTCCCTTTTGTCCCCTAATCCAGTGTTGCTGTTTATCGATTTTACCTGTCTGGACCATTTAATTCTATCATTAACTTCTCAAAATCTAAAGGAGGGAAATCTAGACCTCCCACACTGACATACTCACTTGTGTATTTGTACCTATTATCCTTGTAAAATATATAGTATTGTTTGTGTTTATGTATGGGTTCAAGGGAGAAATACTGAGGTTTGAACTTGAGACCTCACACTTGCTAAGCAAGTGCTCTTCTGTTTGAGGCCTCCAATCATTTTTTGCTTTAGTTTGTTTTTGAGATAGAATCTCACATTTTTTCCCTAGACTAGCCTTTCTGTTTCCTCCCACATACCTGAAATGATAGGAATATATCAGTTTGTGTTTTGGTGTGTCTTTATTTTTTTTTCTTTTTTTCTTCTTCAGACAGTCTTAGTAACATTCCCCCCCTCCCCAGAACTAGCTTTCAACTTCATTCTATCTATCTCTGCCTTCGATTAGCTAAGATTATAGATGAGAGCCGCTACATTCACCTAGTATTTATACGTATTTTAAATTTCCATCGAGGTATCTTATACAATTACAAAGAATTTTCAGGAGCGTGAGAGAAGCTTCCTTGTATTAACTACCTGATGTGCTCACAATAATGGCTTTTTCCCCTTTATTTCTGCTTTTGTTTTCTAAGTTTTTTTTTTTATTTTCTCACCAATTCAGGTTCATGTTAGCATACTTTCTATAATCACTTAAGGCTCAGTATTTTTTTTACATCAAATGTTCCAGATGCTAAAGTTCATTAAAATCCCATTTCTTAAATAAGAGTCCATGCCATCCAAGAAATATATATATCAGTTTTACTATAACAATTGATTATTTTCTACTACTGTGTGTATTAAAAAGCAATCAAATATTACCAGCATCTAAAACAAAAGGTGAAAATAAACGGACCTTTATTTCTTAATAGTCCTGGTGGTAGTTTTTTTAATAGATGGTATTTAAGTCATCAACATGTTTTGTGAGCCTACTACTAACTTTGCTTTACTAGGCCTAAATAAGTGAAGCAAAGAAAATACAAGACCTGCATTTAAGGAAATAAAATTTTGGCCAAATAGAAGAAAACATGTACCTTGTATCAATAGTGCCTGTAAAAAAAAAAAAAAAAAAAGTGGGGGGAGGTGAGAATGAGGGCAACAGAGAGATCCACAGAGGAATAATTTATCTGACACTTGCCTAAGAGTACTCCATTAAGTTTTATATAAATAAACCTAAAGCATTTGAAGAAGCAGACAGTCAACATCTCTGAAATCCAGATTGTTTACAGCAAATAGTAGTTGGGGAGGAGGGAGAGGGTACTAGGAATAGAGCCAAGACAGTGAACTCTCCAGCTAGATCTACCAGAGCAGTGACTTCCTACCAAGTTCTGTAAATGTTTTGACAGGGTTAGAACACTACATCTGTAGTCAGGCTGCATTTCCACAACTCTTGTTTTAATAAATACTATACCATTTCTGTTACAAAATAGCATGGGGATATATATATATATATATATATATATATATTTCCCCTGCAAAGACAGCTGCCACACATGAAAAGGAAAAGAAAAATGATTTTACTTCCTTCCTACCCTGCAGCCTAATGGCAAAGTTACTTTGCAATGTTTCCCCCTTCCCTCCCCCCAAGAGTTTGCAGCTGTTTCTGCCCTTCCCATTGTGCTTGAGTTCAGCTCTGGCTGGGAAAAAGAGTCTGAAGTCCCAGCTGTTGGGTGCAAAGTGAATCAGGTATTTCACAGTGGTTATTTGATTAGAAAGAATTACATTGTTTAGCTAACAATAGTGTGAGCATGGCAGGGAGGACATTTTTAACATGTTCTCAATGTTTATATAAGTGTAACTTATCTCATACAGGTGCAGCTATTCTAAGTACCCTGACGGGTACATCCGTGTGAGTCTCTATCTGTAGAAATGTGTCAATATAGATTTCAAAAATGGTTTTGATCTGTGTGATCACTCTCTTGGGATGTTTTGAAGTAAAATAATATGACGAGTGATGTTTGAGATAGTATAAGTAAACAGTGAGAATGAGCCTTCTTGTAAGGCACAGGGAGTGGGAAAATGTGGCTAAGGAGCCCTAGTGTAGCCTGCAGGGCTACGTGGGAGAGGGAGGAGGGATTCTCATGAAGATCACAGGACTAATCATAGGGATTGCCTGGTCCCCTCTTCTGAGCTCCTTGGCTAATCTACATCCAAACAATGCTTGCTTGATTTTTTTTTTCTTTCTTTACAGAACTTGTATAAGGCCTTTAATCTCTAAATGCAAAGCCTTGCTATTAAAATATTTGTGCATGACTGTCAGTCCATAGAAAGTGAAAGGATCCAGGATTGGGGTGGGTGAGGTTGCTGGACGCCTTTCTAAGGTTTGTTTCAAGTTCAGCTTTACTGACATTTACCAGCAACCATCCTGTGCCTGCTAACAGTGCCCACTGCCTGGGTACAACCACAGCTGCCAGTAGGCTCTATGATACTTTCTTGGTTCTATCTCTGTTCCCCTTTTCCTTGCTCCCCGATTCCTTCATAGGCATTCCTCCCCATACCCTCTCTCTTCTGTGCTTACCTGGACTAATAGAGGCCAGAAATAAAAGAGGTAAGAATCCACTAAAAAGACATCCTTTGCTCATGACCATCGCTTCAGACATGATGTTAATAATCAGTGAACCTGAGAAAAATGACCCCCACCCAGTAAGATTTGCTATCTTCAAATTCCTTGGGCTGCTGTGCCACTAATATGGCATACCTGTTATAGAATCTCATGGGTATGATTTTCATTGGAAGCCTGGTGCATACATCACATTTGGAATTGCTGTTATTATATACTACGGAGACACAGATCATGAATTCAGCAATAATATAAGCATTAGGCAGAGACACAGGCAAATGAAGCTTAAACTCAAATATCATTTCTCTTTGGGGTTGTTAATTCTCCCATCTCTTTTATAAAACATTCAGATAAAAATTTGATCTGCCTTTTGAAAAAAAAGTTTCCATCACTGCATCAGTTGTCTATTCTTTAGAAGAAAATATGCTCAAGAGCCCTGAAATTTCTTGTGTACCAAAAAACAACAACAACCAACTTATTATAAGTAATAATTTCAGTGTTATATCCACAAAATATTAAGCTCAGTTCATATAGACTCCTAAAGTGAATTAATGCTCATTCTTGAAGGACATATATTCTCTACACTATCACATACATAGAAATTTAAAACATCACAAATATCTGGAAGCATGGGGAAAATGTGAAGCTTTTCTTCATTTTGGTGTTGGGTAACAAGGAGTAACGGAAATATCTTTCATGGATGCATTTTAGGAAAACAAAAGACATTGTAAGACATGAAATATATTTACCAGTATTTCTTGAACTTTTATCATGTCAGCACAGATATTTTGTGCACATAGATTAGCTATGCTATAATTAGTGCCTCAATAATGTTGACTTGAAAGCATTGGTTATTTAATTGTTTTTTGATTTTTCTAGTCTATTTGGTTTCTAGAGGTTCCATTTCTTGGATTCACTTTTAGCTCATTTCGAAGAATGAAAACTCATCAGCATCATAATTAATGAGTGAAATGTTTTGCCTTTCCCTAATTCCGTGTCGACATTTAAAAAAAAAAACTCATGCCTACTTACCAAAAAGAGGAAAAAAATCAGAGAAAATGTATTTAATTCAATCTTGCCCCAGGCATTTTGTCTCCTAGTTTTAAGTCTGAGCTGCCAATTCCAAACAGTTATTTCTATTTTCTACTTTTCATCTTTTTCTGTTTCATAAAAGTAAATGTATGTCTTATTTGAAGCAAGAAAGTTTTCTTTACTTTCTGATTTCTTCCCATATAAACACAAATTTCTATCATAAACTAGTC